GCAATGCTTACACCAATAAGGTTTTGTTCTCTTGTTGACTCACTAGAGAGTAATTCAGTGTTTTCCCTTTGCTTTTCACTTTTATTTTATGATGCTTGAACCTTGTAATTTCTTGAGGCTAGAAAAATGTGTCTGTGACTGAAAGACTGATGATGTCGAACAGAAAACAATGTTAAACTATTCTCTATATTCATGTACTCTGTATTCATTTTAAGTTTGAAGCCCAGAAAATCAAGTTTTGAACTTTACTGCTAATAAAGTGAAAGGTGAAATTGTTACAAAAATTTATCGTGGGGTAAAGCCACCCCAGAAAGTTTTCCATATTGCACTCTCGTTAGAAAATTTTGTAGCAGTTATATATATCACTAGAATATTTTTGTTAGTAACACATTTACATGAGCTTTTTGAGACTAAAACTCAAGTGAAATTAATTACAAAGACAGAGTTATAAACATCAAATGAATAGTCTGTCTGAAGAAAAAAGAAAGAAAGACAATCAAAATGCTGTTTATACCAATAAATGTCTAAAACTTGCTGGTTGGAAAATCACCAGGTCCAGAAAGGAGGAGAAAAGATCCTAAATAGTTCTGCAGATGAGAAAAATGGTGTTGATGTGGCCAGGGAAAGCATGAAGGACAAGACTCTGAGCGCCTCAAAGAAGAACAAGATTAATAAAAATCTCAAACGGTATTCAAGGAATGAAACTGGACACATAAATCATTATGTTTAGTGCACATGTGAATGAGTAATAATAAATGTCTCTTGTATTTGCATTATAGTGTGAGAAATGTGTCCAAGATGACAGAGAAGTTGAGCAAATCTCTGCTTAATGGTGTTGGTATAGTGAGTGGATCAGTGATGAATCCTGTGCTTAAATCCCAACCAGGAAAGGCATTCCTAAAGATGCTTCCTGGGGAGGTTCTTTTGGCTTCCCTTGATGCAGTGAGTAAGTAAAAGTTAAAACCATCTGAAACACTTCAAACAGTACTTTTTCTTTCAGATAAGCACCACCACCCTGACTTCTTTAATTTCTGACTCTTCTAATGTGCTGCAGACAAGGTTCTTGATGCTGTTGAAGCTGCTGAAAAACAAACTCTTTCTGCCACTTCCAAAGCTGCATCAAGAGCGGTTTCTAACAGGTAAAGGACATCGCACAGAAAATAAGTTATGCAGAGATTAAATGTAGCCTTATTTTAAGTTTAAGCAAACTAGTTACTATCTTTTTACAAAATTCTTAAACTCTTAGATATAACTTTTACCAGAAGAATCTACTCTAAACTGTTTAAAAAGTACTTCAAATAAGAGTAGATTAAATGTTATACTTATGATATGATATTTAAGTAATATGCATATGCTTTTTTGCCTATAGTTGAATTTAAAAGATGAGATTTGGTAATAGGTTTGGGGAAGGTGCAGGGGAAGCTACTGAACATGTATTTGCAGCTGCTGGACATGCTGCAAACACTGCTTGGAATGTCTTTAAGATACGAAAAGCTTTAACTCCAGCTTCTTCAGCAACCAATGGAGTGCTCAAAAAAGCTGCCAAGGTTCCAGCTTTTAAATAAAAAACCAAATTAAGTTTCTTTTTTTGTTTGATTATGAAAGGTTTAATGAAGATAAACACCATGTGGTGGAACAATTTGTACCTATTTTAATCACTTCAGGCTTTCACATTTTAATTGGTAACCCATTTTAGATGGAGTATCAACACTAAATAGAAATCGTTAGATAAAAAATGTTATAATTAATGAAGAGAGCAGCATTATCTGTTTCTAAAAAGGTTTACTTTTTACAATGATTTTGATTATGATGTGAGTTCCAATAT